TGAGGCATCAAATGGCTAATCAACAAAAAGTAATTGAACAGCACAAATCTCATATAAATAAGTGTATAGACGTTGTAAAGAAGCTATTAAAAGAAAAATCAAATATAGAAAAAAAGGAGGCTAGGCAAAAATGTATGCAAAATAGACTGAGGTTGGGTCAATTTGTAACTCAAAGGGTGGGCGCAACATTTCAAGAAAATTGGACAGATGGTTATGCGTTTCAAGAATTAGCACGACGGCAAGAAGAAATTGCAACTGAACGAGAAGAGATTGATAAACAAAAAAAGCTATTACTCAAAAAGAGGCCATCGAACAGTGAAACTGGTAGGAAACGTAGTCAGCCTCAACCTTCTTTGCATAATGGTACAGAAGCTACATTCTTAAAACCAGATGCAGTACCTGGATCTTATACGTGGCAAGAGTATTATGAAGCTGATGAAATACTCAAGGTATTGAATTTTCTAAGTTGCATTTTGATAATCTTTTATAGTTCAGAAATTATATAAACATTATTTTGACATATATTATATATATATATACACAATATATTCATGAGATATTTTAGAAACCAAAACAAAAATTCAAAAGTTGATATACAAAAATAACAATTAAGATTTAATTATTAATAATAAGCAATTGAAGTTTAGAATACAGGAACAGAATGCGATGATAATATAATAGAGATGAATAGAATGAAATCTTTCTATTTTTGTCTCACTATATTTAATGCAAACTTCAAATACTTAATAATATATTTTAATAAAGAAATCTTAAAATCTCAAATTTTTGTATATTAACTTTTGGTCTCTAAAATTGATTGTGCGATGGGTATCCCTTGAATATAATATTCATATATATCCGATTTTAGTTAAGGCAAAGTGCTTTGAAAAAAGAAGACGCCGATCTTCAATTAGAAATGGAAAAACTCGAAAGAGAACGAAATTTGCACATTAGAGAACTAAAACGTATTCACAACGAGGACCAATCGAGATTCAATTCTCATCCTGTATTGAGTGATCGTTACCTTTTACTAATGTTGTTAGGAAAAGGTGGCTTCAGTGAAGTGCATAAGGTATAAAAAGGAATTTTTTAATTTTAAAATACTGTATGATAAAAAATTAATCAAATAATTCTTTTAAATCACTTTTTTATAGGCGTTTGACTTAAAAGAGCAACGATATGTCGCTTGTAAAGTACATCAACTGAATAAAGACTGGAAAGAAGATAAAAAAGCTAATTATATTAAGTAAATATTTTTATAATTAAATTTTTTGGAAAATATTAAATTAATAAAGAAAAGAATAATAATTACAATTTCGCAATAAAATATATATATGTCTTATATAATATATAATTTAAGTTAATTATATATTATATTGTGACATTTTTTTAATATATTTATACAAAATATATTTTTATATTATTTTACATGTGTATATGTGTACATGTGTATATATTTTTTTTTATGCAGGCATGCGTTACGAGAATATAATATACATAAAGCTCTTGATCATCCTCGTGTTGTGAAATTGTATGATGTGTTTGAAATCGACGCCAATTCTTTTTGTACTGTCTTGGAATATTGTGATGGCCATGATTTAGATTTTTACCTTAAACA